TGTATAAATATTTACTGTAATATTAAATTGACACGTGTATTTTAGCTGTGTTTGCCTTAAAGGCATTAAACTAACACCACCAAGTGACCTGGTTAACAAAAAAACCCCACACCACCAGATTTGTTACATTGTAGCACATCAGGTAGAAACATAACATACCCAATTTAAATTCACTATTTTTAAACTAAATACAAAAATAAGACATTTATCCCACAAAACACAGGACTCGCCTCATAGCCAAGAACCATCTTTAAGGGAATATGTTTCTTCCCGTAATGTTTTTCAACAAAAGGGAACTGAAAACCTCTATCTAGAAGCCTTCTCTTTTGCTCTTGTGGCGAGGCTGTTAGCGGTGGCCGCCCAATAGGCATCTGTGTGCTCTCATACTTTTTCTTCTTCTTCCCTGAGCCACCCTTGTATCTTCGGTGCGCAGCAGCCTTAAACTTCTTTCCCCTGAAGTGATAGGCGAAAATGGCTTTCAAATTGAGTTTTGACTTCTGCTTTTTGGCAATTTCTGATGATTTCACTGGACTTTGAGGAGACAGAGAAGAATCTGAACTTTCATTGTCAGGCACTCCTGCAATAGATTCTGCTTGTTGGCTGGCAGGTTGAGATCTCTTTTTTTGCTTTGAAGGTGCAGTGGAACACTTAGGATGATATTCACTGCCACTAGCAGCAGAGAGATGGCTAAAGAAGAAACCATGTTTACTTTCAAAAGAATGTATACTTTTATGATGTATCACACAGGTTCTGTACATGAACTAGAAATAAAAACTCACATTTCTGAATCACTGCTGTCCAGGAAAACTTCAGCTGAAGCAGCTGATGATTTACATATACTGTTAAGGTCATCTGAAGACTCCTCAGGAGCAGCATTCTTCTGCCTTGAACGTGAACACTCCATTAGTGTACTTGTTTCACAGGCATGTACCTTATATGGTTCTTTCTGATGACTGCATATCAGCTCTTGGGCGTCAGGGTAATCAGAGCCAGAAGCCTGGGATTCATCTGCATCAGTCATGTTTCAGTTGGCCCTAAAAATCAATGAGATGTTAATCAGATAACAAAGCCTTCCACCACTCCGCCTAACAGGGTAAACTTACAAGAACAATCTGTGAGCAAACTTCAACATAGATTTTCCTATGAACCACAAGCAAACGTATTAACCTTCAGAGTAACAGTTAAGTTGCAGCCACTTATCTCAATATATTCATCACATAATTTAGGTCAGAAGGT